GGCCCCATTTTCACTCCCTCTCGCCTCCACCGGCCGGCACCCGGTGTTCATTTACTCACCTGCTCCCCCACGCAGGATGGCAAGGACAGGCCCTCGACCCTGAGTCCCCCCTTTGCTGCGCCTTCTCGCCCAGGGAGGCTACCCTGCTTCAGCCGCGCAGGAAGGGCTGCCTGCGGGGAGGGGGGAGATGAGGTTTGCACATCCCTGTCCCAATGCAGGTGCTGCCTCCTCCCAGCTGCGCTGGTCTCTGAGCCTGCCGGGGAGGGAGGTTAGAGCTGGGATCCGGGTTCCTTAGCGTGACGCCGCCCCACGTGTGTGCAGCCCCGTGGCAGGGACCTGGCAGTGGTCCTGGTTCACATCGCCCCTGCCCTGCTTTCCTGCTAGCACCCTCCTGCTGCTGGCCTGGGTGGACGAGCTCGGCCCCAGCCCTGCTGCCTGGCCTCAGACTAAGGGTATGTCTACACTACTCTGAGCCACCTGCCCAGGGCTTGGCTAGTGCGGACACAGCTTGTGGCACGCTATGGCGTGAGGGGCAGCGGATTCCCAGAGCCGCCCGCTGGAGCAGGCTGACGCTGGCCCGTGTGTGGCCTTAGCAGCCACGCGCCTTGAAGGGAGCCCGGCTCAACCTCCCTGTGCCCATTCCTGCCTGGCTCATCTCTATTGCTGAATGAGGTTGCCATGACCACAGGGCAGTTTGGACATGTGATGCCGCCTCCTGCTGGAGGGAATCAAACTACTCACCAATGTGGCATGCTCCCTATACTGCTACCAGCTAGGGTGATTCTCCTGGAGCTCAGGGATGAGCGTGGGGGGGCTGGAAGGACTGGGATCGAGCCTTGCTTCCCCTTGGAAGCTGAGGGCAGCGCTGTGCCAACCTTGTGGCCATACTGGGTGGCTCATGTTTGTTCAAACGCTCCTGCCTCACGGTTAGCTCCAGGCCTCGGCTTCTGCCTCCCCAGCATCTGTCGTGACAGAAACAGGTTCAGGAAGAGGCGCTAAGTCCACCCCTGCCAGCAGTGAGGGCAGCTTGCGCTCCCTGGGAGCTGCATCTTCCCTGCCCCATGGCAGCTGGAGCAGTGCCCTTGAGCTGTAGCCCAGGGATGCAGGGAGGGGCACAGAGTGCCTGCTTCGATCCTTGGCACTGGGAAGCAGGAGCCTGCTTGTGGCAAGGGCTTCCCGGAGGTGGGGGCTCCCTTCCCTATCTGGTGTGGGGGGGGTGCTGTGGATGACCTGTATGGCTTTTACGTGGCTGGAGGATGCTGTAGAAAAGGGGCAGGAGGGGGGTGGTGCTGGGGATGTTCTACACCTGCTGAGGCCCTTAACTGCTGCCTTCCTCGGCCGAGCGCGTGTCCGACTTGAGCTTGACAAACTCCTTGGCCACCTCGTCGTTGTTGCGCTGCGAGAGGATGCGCAGGACGGTGAGGCCCGTGTCGTCCATGTGGATGCGCCGGCCCAGGGGCAGCCAGCAGGCGCAGCTGCCCCGATGCACAATGTCCTTGAGCTGTAGCACAGCGATGCCCACCGTGCGGTCCTCCCGGGCGAAGCAGTAGTCCTTGACGCACACCTGCACCTCGTAGCACTCGGGGCCCGTCTCACTGCTCAGGGTGCTGCGCGGGAGGGAAGAGGACGGACAGGGTTACCGGCCCCGCCCGCAGGGGCCTGCGCACCAGCCGCTGCATGTACCGGGGCACTGGCGCTTCGCTGCCCAGGAATCAGCCTAGGGCTGGGGGAACTGCAGGGCGGAGCTGGTCACCAGCAGGAAGGAATGTGGCCCCCAGACCCTGGGACACTGGTGGTTGCCTCTCCCTGACTTTGGAAACGGTGCTGCAGTGCCTCATGGGAGCTGTAGTTCAGGTGCCTCATGCTCCCATTCTACTCTACAGGCAGGGCTCCCCGGCTGGACTACAACTCCCACGGTATCCCTCCTTACAGCGAGGAAGCAGAGCATCATGGGAGCCCCAGCCGTGGTGACTCATGGGAGAAATAGTTCAGGAGCTTCATGTGCCCATTCTCTTCTATAGGTGGGTCTCCCTGCCTGGACTACATCTCCCATAGTGTACCCTGGTCTCCCTCTTGGCGGGAGAGAGGTGGTGCATCATGGGAGATATAGTCCCAGTGCTCTGTGCAGAACACAGACCATTTTTGTGAAAAATTTCATTGAGTCGAAAACCCAGTTTGCCATCAAAAATCATCTTAGACCATTTTTGACCAGCCCTAGGTGGCACTTTGAAGAGCACGGCGCCCCCTAGTGCATCAGCTGAGAGAGAGCAGCACAGCCATCCCTGAATCACCCCCTCCCATGTGCAGCTCATTTTCCACTGCAGCCCAGCCCAGCCCTGCTTCGCTCATAAGATCTTGGTCGATCGGGGGAGGGGGTGGAACGGAAACGTGTGTCAAAGCCACTCACAACTGGAAGCTTTCATTGTATTTGGGGGCCCAGCTGTTGTTCTTGGACTTGGTGGCGAATTTCCTCTTCTTGTCGCTGAGATGGGGCCCGATGATGTTGACCTCGATGAAGGGCCGGAAGATGCCGGACGTCTGCCACTTGAGGTCATTAGCCGCCACGACTGCGAGAAAGGAAAGGGTGCGTCAGCTGGCGGCTTGGGGCCATGGGGAGGATGGGGGGCACTGGGAGGGCCGGAGGGAAGGGGGCAGCCCAGACCAGGCAGTGCTGTCTGCTCCTGGCCTTTGGCAACTGAAATGTCAATGTGGCCACAGGTGATTCACTCCTGCCCATCCCCCAACCACCCTGGCGGCAGGGCAGCGTCCTGGGCTGGCCACGTAGGGCTATTGAAGGGGTTCGGGCATGTGCATGTCCCCAAAGAGCCAGGAGGGTACCCCTGTGTGACGAAGTGGGACTGTTCTTAATGTTTCCTCTGAATACTGTGTGTGTGCCTCAGTTTCCCCTAGGCATTTCTTAAGTCTCTAGGTGGTGGGATAAAGGCCAGTGTGCATAAATGGCCAACACTCTGTCTCCTAGCAACAAATGGCCAGGGCCCTCCCCCCCTGCAAGGGGATAGCTAAAGATGAACAAAGAGATCAGGTGACCTCCTGGCCCGGGAAAGAGACAAAGGCCAGAGAGGAGGGGCTGGAGGGCGTTTCAGTTTGGAGCTGGCTGGGGACGGGAAGTGAGTGCAGACGGGGTTGTCTGGCTCGCTGGGCCCCAGAATGGACCCAGCTGAGGGGTCCTGTTCTCTGTACCTACAAGCTCTGTTTTAGACCGTGTTCCTGTCATCTAATAAACCTCTGTTTTACTGGCTGGCTAAGAGTCACGTCTGACTGCGAAGTGGGGGGTGCAGGACCCTCTGGCTTCCCCCCCTGGGCGGACTCGCTGTGGGAAGCGCACGGAGGGGCATATGCTGAATGCTCCAAGGAGAGACCCAGGAAGGTGAAGCCGTGTGAGCTTCTTGCCCTGAAGACAGTCTGCTCCGAGGGAGAGGAGGCTCCCCAACGTCCTGACTGGCTTAGTGGGGAGCAATTCCAGAGCATTGCCTGGGGACTCCGTGGCACCCTGCCTCCCCCCTGTGCTCAGAGCGTTGGGCACGCCCCACGCCGGGTACCAACCTTTGACAGTGACTTTGTGTTCCCCGGTGCCAGGGTGAGTGAAGAGCTCCACGTGGATCGACACCTCCCCGACCGGGTCATCCACGCCAGCTCCTGCTCCGCAACGGCAAAGCAAGGCGTGAGCCCCCCCATCCAGCCAAGCACACGGCAGGCCAAGTTGGGCCCACCCTGCTGGAGGAATCAGGTCACCAGCTTGGGCAGCGAGGAGACAACGGCTCATGGGTTCCCCCCACCACATGTTCAGCAGTGTTTTCCTGTTCCCCTTCCCGCCCACTGCCAGCGTGAGCCGGCTCGGGGGCTGTGGAGAGACAGCTGCAGCCTTCCCCTCGCTCCAAGCAGGGCCCCGGTGAAAGGAGCACGGTGGTCGTCCCATTGTCCTCACATGGCTGGAGTGTCTCCGGGGCTGTCGCTACCCCGGTGCCTGGATCGTGCCTCGCACAACATGAGGCTGCTCTCGGGTTGCACGGGAAGGCGCGGTGCTAATGCCCGTGTCATGGCCAAGTTGCACCCGGCAAGACAGTGGCAGAACCAAGCCTAGAACCCAGGAGTCCTGAGCCCGCACTTCTCCCACTCTGCTGTGCGGCGCCAGACGCCCAGGCAGCCCTGCGCACGCGACAGCCCAGCCCGCCTAGGAACTGTCTCCTCGCTGCAGAGGCTGAAAGCGTCGCCTTGCCAATGCAGTCAGAATGATGTGCAGAAGCCAGCGCCCTGCTCCCCGCCCGTCGGCCAGGGCAGGAGGGGGGTTCATGGCTCTTTTCGCCATGAACCGTAGAAAACGGCAGAGCCCAAGCTAATTGCAATAAAATCGCTCCGTTATTGAGCCATACGTCACAGGGGGCAGCTCACGGCTTTGGGGACAGGACGGGACGGGCTTCATCCCCTGTAGCTCAGCCGGGGGCTGAGGCCGGGCCTCTGGGCAGGAGGCTGAGTGAGGGCCAATTACGACGTTTTTGTTCTTTTCGAATGAGTCCCTGGGAAGAGACTCGACTTTGGCCGCAGGAAGGTTGGGCTCAGCGAGTGAGGCTGCTCCATACCCTCCTCCTATGGGGTGCCCCGGAGTGGAGGAGGCTGCCCGTAGGGCCGGGGGGCTCCTGTCCCAGAGAGCTACCAGGGGAGAACCCTGCTAAGGTGTGACATTATTGATATAATCTGGGACCATATAGAACATGGTTGCAACCGAAGTCCTGTAGTGGCACCAAATCTTGTACAAAGGGGGTTCAAATGGGGTGTCTAAGACAAGGTTATGGTTTGCTGGTTGTGATTATGCTGTCTATATGTGTGTATCAATTTTGTAGTTGAAGTTATGAATATTGGCTCTATACTGTGTATTTCAAACTTATGCTATGCTTCTGGGTGACATCCTAGACACATTGGTGTTAGCTCTGCCTAGCCTGCTTGATGGCCCATTAAGGACCATCAGCTACACAACTGACCCATTGAGAGAAAGCAAATATGCCTTGAGACTCAGCAAAGTATGCAGGGACTGGCCCATGTGACTCCAGACTCCATTTTGCTGTAATTTTCCACAGTAAGGACAAAGAGGTGTTCTTACACCTGGAAAAGATTATAAAAGGCTGATGCCTCATCTCCATCTGGTCTTCAATCCTGCTTCTTACCTCTGGAGGGACTTTGCTACAAACTGAAGCTCTGAACAAAGGACTGATGACCCATCCAAGCTGGGAATGTATTCCAGAGACTTAATTTGAACCTGCAATTTCTATCACTGCTACAAGCCTGAACCAAGAACTTTGTCATTCCTGTATGTAATTGATTCCATTTAACCAATTCTAGCTCTCATCTCTATCTTTTTCCTTTTATGAATAAACCTTTCGATTTTAGATTCTAAAGGATTGGCAACAGCGTGATTTGTGGGTAAGATCTGATTTGTATATTGACCTGGGTCTGGGGCTTGGTCCTATGGGATCAGGAGAACCTTTTTTCTTTTACTGGGGTATTGGTTTTCATAACCATTTGTCCCCATAACGAGTGGCCCTGGTGGTGATACTGGGAAACTAGAGTGTCTAAGGGAATTGCTTGTGTGACTTGTGGTTAGCCAGTGGGGTGAGACCAAAGTCCTCTTAGTCTGGCTGGTTTGGTTTGCCTTAGAGGTGGAAAAACCCCAGCCTAGGGCTGTAACTGCCTGTTTTAGCAATTTGACCTGAATTGGCCCTCTCAGTTGGGTCCCGCCAGAACTGCATCGTCACATAAGGACACACAGGCAGCCCCAGAGTCAGAGCGCTCTCGCTGACTGCTCTGCTGAGCTGTGGGGAACAGGAGGGGGGAGTCTTATCGGCTAAGCTGAGCCCACCCGTCACATTTCACCGGGGGGCTGCTTGGATCCATCAGCCTAGATCCTGCCTGATTTTTGGCAGCAGCTTCTCCTTGACGATCCCCGTCACCTCCAGTAGCCCAGAATGCCACAGACCAAGACTAGCAGCGCACAAGCTCATGTGACCTGAGCCTACCAGCACCTCCCCAGCCCATCCCCCAGCTCCCCCACACCCTATCCTACCCCACAAAGGCTGCCTGCCTCCCTCCCCACCTTACCCCACAGGCAAAGCCTGACCTGCAAGACGGCTCACGGTCCAGACAGGGTTCCCTGGGGCTCTGCATGCAGGTGGGGGGAGGGGAGAGAGGCTGGGGGCAGGTGCATGATGAACAATTCAGTCCAACTTGGGAGGGTGTGGGGGGGAAGACATTTAAATGGCGGCGGGGGAGGGAATCTTCCAAACCATCATGGAAAACAACCCGGGTGGAGAAGGAAAGGCTAACGCGGGAACCGTCCTGTTCTGCAGGGCTTGAGTCTGATGAGCAAAGACCATGGATCGCAGAGCCGGAGTCCCTCGCCAGCCCCAATGGGAATCCAGCTCCCCGGGATTAGGGCAAGGTACAGCTGGCGTGGGGGGGGGG